AATTATTATTATCTACAATAAATATTAATTTTAAACAATATGTATAAGATTCAACAGTCAAACTATTTGTGTATAGGTTTGTTGGACATGGCGTTATAAGACATACCTTGTACCTTTTACTATTAAATAATAAAACAAGTACGAGAATCAAAGCTATAAACAAAGTGTCTATATAATGTTAAGCGGATATAAAATCAGTTGGAAAAGTAAGATAACATTTTTATGATGAATGCAAATCAGTTGTGCACGTTCAGGAGGGATATGCATTTTAAAATTGATTTATGGATACAGTAAAGTGTTGATAAAACTCAATAAACGTCAGAAGAATGTCGCGGAGAACCTAACGAGTTACCGGGGCTCCGGCTCGAAGTGCAGGAGAAGGAACGGGGTGGTTTTTAGTCAGTAAGAGTCTGACACTCCCTCTCGCCTCACCCAGGCGGGAGCAGTAATTCATGATTTCCCCCCCTTAAAAAAAGTAAAAAAAAAAACGACAGAAGAATAAACATAATCATCATTCAAATGTTCCATAGGTATTTTTGATTGATTATATTAATATACACATCAATGCCAGTAACTCATCCGATACGCATCTAAACAAAACAAGCCCATCTATCAATTAGTTCGTCACGTAACTTAAGCAAGTCACCCTTTCTAAAGCGTAAACAAATAAACGATTTTTACAGAAGTTTGCCAACAATAAAAAAAGAAAATTGAACTATTCTCCCTTTTCATAACAAGCGTTACCCAATCAACCATGGTTCATTAATAGGCCCAAATTTCGAGTTTGTGGTGAAGCCATAAAGTAAAAGCAAGTTTATTTATTTATTTTGTTTATTTCAAGTTATGCTTGAAGTGTTAAATAAATAAACAATATTGATATTGCTCCTATTGACCAAGTAACTTATTTTATTTACTTTTTTCGTGAACGAAGGGTTTCGTTTGTTGATTTTTTATTTGTGAAGACTTCGGTCTGGTGATTGTACGGTTATTTAGTGGTTTACATGGCGTGGAATTTAATGATCGTATTTTCTTTTTGGATTTAGTAAACATCTTGGTATAAAGCATTACTGATACTTCGAGATATCTACAAGTTTGTTATTTATTCGTTTTATCGAAATCTTGGAAATGTGTGTATCGAAATTCCTGTTTCCATAAAGATCAGATTAAGTTGCTAAGCGCACTTACTTGGTTTTTAAGTCGTACTTAGCTTGATTTTAAAACTTATAGGTATAAAGAATAGAATCAGGCGGTACTTTGCGGAAATCTATGCTACACTAACAACTTGCAATGATTCCTATAGCGGAATAAAAACTAAAGAAATACCAGGTGTAACTTATAGGTAGGTCATAGGTGTTGTTCCTCAGAACAAAGGCATTTTCATTTCAAACACGCCTAATTTTTGATCTGCGACTTCGCTCTCATAAAGTCAAAGTCAAAGTTAAAATCATTTATTTCAATTAGGCCGGAATGGCACTTTTGAACGTCAAAAAAAAAAAAATTAACAGTGAAGCTATTTGCTCATTACAGGTGTAGATTCCTATGGAGAAGAACGAGCAAGAAACTCCATAGGTTACTCTTTTTCAATCAGGTTCACAATACAATTTACTAGTTACATAGACAATACCGTAAATATTTGCAACACACAGAATAAAAGTATTAAAATACTTAATATCTTAAAAAAATTAAATTAGGCTTTCTATTTGTATAAAATTATTGTGAGACATGCAAAATAATTAAATAATATGGCTTGCCTACGAAACTGTTTTGAAGAGGGTGCTCAACCAGTCTCAATCCACAACCGGGGCTCATAATCACGCGTGGCTACCGACACAGTGACAAAAAATAGTTCAGCCCGTATGTATAAAGTACTAACGTTTCTTTTTATATTAGTATAGATCGGCAATATACGCAATTTTCCAACAGTGAGTATTATGTGTGAAAATAAATAGTACGTTCATGATAGCATTCATTGTAGTCGTTTATAAATCATAATTAGTTTTACTGTTCAATCGCATGTTTACTAGGTAGTCGG